TATTTTAAAGTACTATTTTAAAGCCAGTTTGTTAACTGATTTTGGAGAGTTTACACACTATTTTGGACTGGATTTCCTAGCTGATTTTGGGACATTTAAAACTGATGTTTTGAACTTACATGAAGTCTACTATTTTGGAGGCATTAAACCCATCATTTGCGGGGTTGTTTTAATCACTGTTTTGAGACATTTTTATGGGCTGATTTTGAGGCAATCTACGCACTGTTTTTGCGAAATTTATGTAGCCTTTAAGCATTGATTTACGCACGATTTAGAGTTGGATTTAAGAAGGTCTTTTGCCCACAATCTTGAGTTTCATTTGATTATTATTTAAACGCTTTTAGGTCGATCCACTCGTTGTTTTCTCCCTTGACTTTACTAGTTTTGGAAGTGGGTCTGCCTCATCTTTCTTTTGTTTTATTTCTTTTTAAATGGTTAAGTCATAAAGATGAGATTGATGATTTAATTAATTGGAAGATATAGAAAACCTTAAATCACCTTAAGCATAAGTTAAAAAGTAGGCTTCCTAGAGTTTTAGGAGCACACCCTAGGTGAGAGCCCATCCACCTAGTCCTCAGTGTAGACTTCCTAGAGCTTAGGAGCACACCATAGGTGAGAGTCCATCCACATAGCCCTCAGTGTAGGCTTCATAGACTTTAGGAGGCCTATGTGAGAGTCCATCCACTTAATCCTTAGTGTAGGTTTCCTAGACTTTAGGAGCACACCCTAGGTGAGAGCCCATCTACCTAATCTCTGCAGTGTAACCTTCCAAGGTTTTAGGAGCACACCCTAGGTAAGAGTCCATTCACCTAATCATCGAATGCACACCGAAACTAGACACTTGACCCTAATTCACAAATTGACTAAGACACTAGACAGGATGCACCGAGGCGTAGTTCATGCTTATTTAATTAAATCAACAGTGGAATTCTCTCAATGACTTAACCTACAATAAAACCCAGTGCATTGAGATTTGAGCTTGAATATTACACTCAAATCCTCCTGGCAATTGGGGAAATTACTTAATGCCACATATGGATCATCAGACTAGGATAAATTTAGGGTCTAGGTGGCGAGGGCGATGACGACATTGTTTATGTGTGCTTAAACGAAGGATACAAGGTTAGATTATTAGAATAGTATCTCCTACCTCAAGGATCTTCAATAAGGGAGAGGGAAGAACCTATGATACTATTCGCTGATTCTTGTTGGGATCGTTGCCCCCAACACTCTTAGGTTGTCAGTAGTTCTAACACGATTAGAGTGACTAGTCTGTGGACTGTACGACTTTACAAAATATTTATAAAAATAAAAT